GCAATTTTATTTGCAATAGAACCGCGATTATTACAGGAGAGGCTCGTTCGTTACAATGTATTGACAAATGGAAGTAATGGTCACTAAGCACCGAGTGAAGTTGGAGAGTGGATGGATGTAGCTGGTAGTAATGACAATGGGTAGTAAAGATATAACGGGTAGGTAAGTGGGTCTCCCTCTTATTGGATTGGTTACCTTGATTATTTCATGAATCTCGATCATTGCAGAAATTTTCAACCCCGTTTCCCTGCAATAATCAAGGCCCTGTTTAAATTCATTATCTTTACAAATTGAAAGTCTCTGAATCGAATTTTCGTCATATCATGACTGATCAATTTTCTTTCTCTGTTTACATCCTTATATTGACTAGAAAAATTAATTCTTAAGTTGAGACGACGAGGGAAATAAATTTTAAATAAATTACAAGCAAGATTACAAAAATAAGTATCGAAACAAATGTTGATCTAGAATCAAAATTTTAATCTTAGAGAATATAATACAGTTTTGATTTGGCAAAGAACACGTTGAATAAAGAAATGTTGTCGGTGGCTTGCAGAGGACAGGCAACGCGACAGATTCGGTGAATCGGTATAGAATCGAGATCCTGATAGCGCAGAGCAGTCACCATCGAGCGTATTGCTCGCGCCTTTACTCCGACACGAGTTCCGTATTGCATACGGTGTCCACGCGAGCACGCGAGGTAATTCGTTATCAAGTTCGACGTCGGAACGGCGAAGGAGGACGAAGAGAAAGGTCCGTGTTTCACCCTTCTCCGTGCTTCCTCGTGGAAGTAGATTCTTTGGCGACTAGCTCGGTACGCACGACCTCGATATTACGAACCGAAAGAAATTCGGGGGTAAGACGGAGAAAGGTGGAGGAAACGGCACGGCGGGAAAGAGAAGAGCGGAAAGATTTGCAAGAGGTTGGGTGAACAGAACAAACGGACAGGTCGCTTATTTATGGCAGCCATACTTCAGATATATGAACTGGTTCCCGTCGAAAGTTCGGGACGCCGCGTCTTTCCAGTTCAAAATGTATAGAGAGGTGTCCCGTCGCTCGCCTTCAGCGGCAAGATTTGCGAGGGGTCACCCCAACGTGATGTCACGCGAGCTTAATTCTTTCTTTCCTTCGTTCGACGAAAACCAACGTATCCGCTACCTAAACCAGCTCCTGGGACTTATCGTGCAACGACTCGACAGCGTCGGCCAACATTTTTTCTTCATCGTCATATTCGAGCTCGAGAAAATATTTCCTTGTTTCTTTATTAGAGACGACAAAGAACGGGCTAAAGAAATTTTAGAAAAGCTGTGAAACAGGATCTAATCGTGTCAGAAATTAGAAATATCGCAGAGATCACAGAGAGCGTTTAAATACAGAATATTTTTTTAATTTTATATTTACAATGGACATTTTTAACACGATAGGCAACGTGTGTACATATAATTTAGAAAATTCTGCGTCAGCCTGCGCTCGATGCGTGGTCAGCTTAAATGTGAATGGAATCGTGGCGCGAAACGGTACTGCAACCGCGTGGCCACGTGTTTTCGGGGCAGCCGAGGACACTCAAAGATCGTCTTCCTCGATCGTGTTCGATCGGTATTTTGGTTTGTTAGTTTCGGATATTCTGCGAACGACGGAGAAACTTGCTAGAGCCAGCAGTGACCAAGGAAGCGAGAAGAGGTAGGACGGAGGGGGGTTATAGGGGGGCGGGCCAGAGCGTTGGGGAGAAGAGAGGCGATGGAGTAGATAAATAGATGGATGGGCAATATTATAACTCACCGGCTGTCATCCTGTACGGAGAGTCAGGCTGCTAATCAGACCCTGGCTCGCTCTCGCCCCTCGACGGACCCTTCACGAAAAATGGATTTATTGCCGTTCGCCTCGACTTCGGCACGCTATCGAACCCTCTGATCCGTAGAATGTAACCATCGTCGTACTATTCGCGTCGAGCCTCCTACTTCGAAAGTTGGCCCCTTCTCTCCGCCCGGTCTCTCTTCGTCCCTGCCACGCTCCATTCCGTTTTCGTTCTCTTCCGTCGACTTCCCTTTTCTCCTCTTCGATCGTCCTTGGAACATCGAGGGTTCCAGAGTTTCCGGTTTTTATCGGTGGTGGAGTTTTCGGCCACGATCCCCGGACAGGACTCGCGAGAGGATCAGGCCCCGGTGCTCGCGCGTGGTCGAGGATCGATCACCCGCGAGACCTCGAGGCTTTCACCGACATCCGTGGCGTCGAGACAAAGAGGAAAAGGCGGAGGTGAACAGCGATCCTCGATCCCGCGATCCGCGATCCGCGGGGCTGACAGAGGGGATAGATCGGAGGCTCGGCCAAGGAACGACGCCGGGGGGAGGGCTCAGGTGAGGACCAATGCATCAAGCAAACGGTGACACTCGCCTCCTCTGCACGGCGTGCATAGATCATGCCGACCTCGTTGCCGTCGGACGCGGTGCTCCGCGACGAAGAGACGGGGGAAGATCTAAAGCTTTGAAGGGGTATGACCCCCCCGCCTCCCGCCATCCAACGGCTCTTCTTTACGCTACGCTAGCTTTTCTCTTTCTCGCGCTCGTCGTACTCGAAGAGCACAGATGTACGGACCGAACGAGATAGACGCGACGAAGAGAGTGGAACTGTCTGAGACCCCAGCTCGAGTGTACGTGTACACGCGCACCGAGCAAAGACGCTCGTCTACGTGTCTATACGTGCGCGCGTGTGTTTTTTCAACGAGATTTATTACCAAACTCCTAATGCTCCGGGGCACGAGGAGAGGGTGTTGCCGCTCTTCCCACCCAGCGACTCTCACCCTGCGCACCGCTGGCACCGCCACCACCGTCGCCAACGTCGTCGCCGTCGTCGCCCTCGACGTCATCGTCGTCGTCGTTGGTCGTTGTCGTTGTCGTCGTCATGGTCGTCGGTCTTGCCTCGCCGGCATTTCGTATCTTCTCGCCGTGGCGTAGTTCGTCTTCGCGCGCCGCTTAATCCCCGGCTGCCACGCTATTACGAGTTGATTTACATTCCTGCGTTAACAAGGGCCAGTGGAACGCGCCTCCAATTCGGCGCTCGTCGACCCGCAATTTCGCCACGGACGCTCGAGATCGCTCCGATGAAGATTTTCCAACCGGAACGGACAAAGAATCCACGAAGCGAACCAATGATCGCGACCCGGTACTCGAACCCCGCTGCTTCTCGTCGAGTTATTCGTTTATCGAATACCATAACGATACAGACGTTCGCGAGTCTTTAATGCATAACGTTCGAAATACTATTTGCATACTCGATCGCTCGATCGATATCATTATTAGTCTTATTTACAAGTTTATCGCCATTGGAAATATGAAAATTTTAATTTAAACGCTATTCGAGTTTTCAATTATGGATATTACACTACCAGAAAGTATTATTACGCGTCGATAGGAAGATTGTTTCGAAGAACAAATCGAACGAATAAACGCATAGTAAGGAATCTGGCCGCCAGCGAAGACGCTATAAGTCGATACGGGGGGGGTGTATGGGCGTCAGGCCCGAAGGGTTAATCCATCTAGGTAACAAAATCTGGCCACCGAAACTTTGGCTAAGAAATCTTCGAAACACGAAAAGCTGCGCGCGTCGGCTCGCGTTACACCGAAGCAATAAATGTCTTCGTCGAAATATTTACGACTACAAACGGTATCGTAAGCATGTAATAAATCATTATTAAGCAAATCGTATTAACGTTTATAAATTCTACTCTTAAGGAAAGCAACTTTAACGAGATCGTCGCAGGGGATTACGTAATTTCGACCGCGACTGTGTCACCGTGACTTTTTCGATGGTCGAGCGTCTCACCTAGAAATAGCAATTCTTCATCCTCGCGGACGCGCGCCGTTTACTATTTACAGTGTTGTCTCGTTATGAGTCGTCCACTCGGGGGACAGCCACCACTCGTAACAAAATAGTCGTCCATTTTACGATCCCTCTGTTGTTTGCCAGAGGGCACGCGACGAGTTTCATCCCCGTATACCATCGTGGTCAAAGCAAGATAAAACATTGCCGCATTTTATACTTCGAAATAGGATATCATAATCGAAGACACGAGCGAACTTTATGGTTTGCCGCCGTATGCCTTCTCGGTCACGCGCAGTGTGTCGCGCTCGCCTCGGCATCTACGAAACCAGTGGAGGGGATCCAGGGACTTATAGCGGGACACAAAGCGGCGGCTTATAACGAGACAATACTGTAATAGAAATTCTTGTGGCTCTTTTTCTCTCTGCCCAGCTACCTGGTGGTATTTACGTTGTAAAGGAGGTTAGAAGTTCCGCGAAAACGAGTCGACGGATGGACGGACGGACGGAATAGAGTTAGGCGAACGGGTTGTAGCGAGACGATGCTCTGTTTCGCTGTTGAGCAGGCGCGAAGCAGGACTCTAGAATGCAGAAAGAAATAAGATTAGAAGGAAAGAGTGCGTGGACGTATCAGAGAATAAGAGAGGGAAAGGAAAAGGTATCGAGGGTGAGGGTGGAAACGAAGAAAGGAGAGACACGGAGAAGTCGCGAGTCCAAGGAAGAGAGTCTCTACGTGAAACTGGGAAGAGTGGGATGGGGGCGTGGGTGGAATGAGGCGCTAGTGGGGAGAGAAATACGTCGGGCCGGTGCGTGTGCGGTGGGGATAGGTCAGGGCCGCGGGTGGAGGGGCAGCGGCTGTGGCGTTGACGAGGGGTCAGGCGGGGAGGGATGGTCCGTTTGGCGCGGGGCTCGGAATGGCCCATGAGGGGCAGCGGGGGAAGGGATACGTAGTAAAGGAGCGGCTCTGCGCGAAACGGAACGAAGCGCGGTGTGGCGGGGAAGATTCAGTGGATAAAGCGTGGCAGGGGCGCGGGATCTGTGGGGGGGGGGCAGCGAACGGAACGAAACGGGAGAGGGGGGTCGTTGTGCCGCGGAGAGGTGCATCGGTGGCGGCGGCGGCGGAACAGTGGAGGGGGCAGAGACGGGGAAGATGACCGCGGAGCCGTCAGTGCGCCACGTGCTGTCGTCGTGGGAGGGTCTTTGTTTTCGCTCCGTTCCGTCGACGAGTCATGCATCGCGTTACCGCGAAATCGTGACTCGTCCATTCGGGGCATCGGTTCCCATTGTTTCGCGGTCGCGAGATACCTGGCCCGTTCGTACCGTGAAAATCGCCAGCGATGCGAGATTACGGTCGGTGACGTGCGCGAAACCCAAAGGAAAGGAAACGTTTCCCACGAGAAAGGAAAGAGGAGTGATACACGAGGCGGTTATCGAAACGCCGAATACCAGTTAAGTGAGTGGTGCGTCTTTGCCGTCATTGCGTGGGTGGAAGATCCTTGGAGAATGACGCGGTGATACGATGCCGAGAGAATCACGGAGGACACGCGCGTCCCGATGCTCGTCGTCCAAGTGCTGCGTCGCTCCTGCCGTACACGCTACGAGGATAATCGCTCCTGACGTAGCACCACCGGTGCCGACGATTCATCGGGACTGACGTTTCCTGCGCTTTGGAACCACTACTTCGCGGTGAGTTCGCTTTCGCGAGTGTTGCGACCAAACGTGGACGTCGACGGTCACCGGACGCTACGTGGAAAACTGTCGCTGGTTCGTCATCGAGAACTCGCGTTTTCTCCAGTGGCTGTCGTAAACACAGATGCCACGGGCTCGAGATAAAATAGTGAAACGCGCGATCGAAATTCACGGATCGAATCGATTCGCGTTGTGTTTCAATTTTCTATTTCGGTCCACGCGCCCCGTTCAGATTTCCCCTTCTTTTCCGCGTTTACACTTTCTCCCCCTCTCTTTCCGTCGCACATACACGCGCGCGTACACACGCACGCCGTAACCTTTCCTCCGCGACAGATGATACGCAGAGCAGCGCCGAGTGATTCAATTTGTCTTGAGCATAGGTTAACTACCGGTTTTCCGCAGTTTCCGACCGATCTTTCTCGCCGCGGCTCCGTATTCGCATCCGTCACCGGCCGCGATCGCGTCTACGTTCGAAGGCTCGTAGTTCGCAAAGGGGAATCGTCGCGGCAGTGGTCAGACAGCCAAAGTAACTCCGGTCAAACAGTGTCCAGCCTGTGGCGTGACAGAAGTGTCGTCGTAGTTACGAGACGGTTGACGCACTGCCACGTGGCGTGTACCGTGATTCGCGATGTAGAAAACTGTCAACGCGTCTAGCACTTGCCTTCGCGAAATTACCATTCGGACGAAAGAACTGTTTCGAGAACCGACTCGAGCCGCGCGGTACGTTTGTGCAGGCAGAGTATCGTTCTACTTGAACCGTGCACGGAGCACTGCTCGAAACAGCGCTAAGTCGTATACCTTACTTATAGCTGAATTACTCGGTGTTGGTTGAAATAACTAGAGCACAATCTAGATTATTATAGATGCCAGTGTCCGTGGCTTCGTTCGATAAAAAAAGAAAAAAAGTGAATCATGGAACGGTGAACGTTAGGTTGAACTTGAACGAAACGCCTGTGCATAACGTGTATGTCAATCTGTATCTTGTCGTTGTATCGTGTAGAAACTTATAATAGTTGTGTGTAAATGATATTTCTAGTTTTTACTTGTTTCGGTACGAAGCTACAAACAAAGCTTTCGAAGTTAAAAAATATTTAGTTGTAAATAATTTTGTACGATAGAACAAGAAGTAATATATAACAGTTTTTGTGTAGAATAAATGTAGAATAAATTTATTATAGTAAAAGTGAAATGCTTGCCTGTGACAGAAGTAAAAGTTTTTGAAACCGCTATATAGTGTATAAAACAATTAACTCGCCATGTTATAAAATATTATATTTGGAAGAGAGGATAGAAAATTATGTAATACCCAAGAGAATGTTGGTTATTAATTTAATTATGTCTTGTATATTGATGCGCGTATCGATACGCAGAAATGCATGTTTCAGTATGAACCATCGCCGTTACTGTATAAATTCTATTAAAACCGGTGCCGTCTATTCTATTTTTCTTCACAGTCGATACACGAACAACTATTAGTATTTTTATCTTAATAACCATCGTAACGAGTAACGTTCGATCATTAATTATTGATTAATTTTTTTTATCCGCGCGAAAAGGTGACGAAAACAAAAGTACGGTCAGAAATTCGTACACCGATCGAAATGAAAATAGAACCGACCCGTTGTAAATATACATTTACATATTTCCAATCGATTCGGTCAGTTAAAATTCATTGACTTACGACAACATACAGAGGAGACTGACGTCATTGAACGCTATTAAATCCGTCCTGTCACCGCGAGTCGCTTACTATACACGTGTGACGCGTCGTCGCGAATTCTTGGGAAGGATAGAATGAAAGGCACGACATTTTTTGCGTCGCCAATCTGGCTTTCGAGGATCGCGACAGACTGAAGTTTATTTGTTGCCGTTAGTCTCGTAAACAAGGATTCTTGGACAGCTGTGTACCGCGTGCACCTACGCTTTACCAACGGTTATGCTAACTGTTATTAATTACACGCTGACTTCCAGGATTCCCAGAACAATATACTCGGTAAAAAGCTGTAAAACTTCCCTTTTTTTCGAGAAGCAAAGATCAGGACAACACGTCGACGAGATGCTCGATCGGCGAGAATAGATCTTAGCATTATGGGAAATCAGTAAATCACCGATAAAAGGCATTATTTACTATCGTGGACGTCATCGTCGACGCACTCGTGTAAAGCATGCTTAGAGATTCTCGACAGCAGTTATTCTATAATTACCAACCGTCTCGATATCTTTGCAATTAATACGTCTGCCCGTTTTGGAGCACTAAAAGTTTTTCAGCGGTTACCAGTTATGGATCTGCACGATACTCGTGTTCAACGCGCGGCTGACACTACTGACGTCATCGTGTCCGGAAAAACCAGTCGTTCCAAAGACCGATTAAATACGTATTTTTGTACCGTCGCGACTTTTGTCATTTTCGCGGATCGAAACCAGATCCATCGCGCGTTCGACGACGATCGCAAAAAATAAGAATGGCTTGTCGCGGTAAAAACAATGTCCAAGGAATTTGTTGCCGCGGGCGCTCGACACGGGAATTTCCCTTCCACAGCGGTTCGCGAACCGAGCGAATGATTAATCGACTCGTCGAAGGTTGGGCCAACGAAACGCTCGCGACCATTCTCGAATTCCTTGCGTTCGTGTCTCCAAATATTTTCGACGATTTCGTCGACCATCGGACGCCGGAAAGTGCGACGGTATAGTGTAAGGCGGAACCGGGTCATTTTTGACCCATGATAAAATTCTTTATCTATAGCTTACCCTTTAAAGACTGGAGCAACATTTAAATTGCTGTCGTTAGAAATTTTTTGATCGAGTAACGATTGTTAATAAATGGTAATATACAGAGGGTGTATCACGAACTCTTTCACGCGAGAATTAAATAGCTTCGAGGGTCGATGCAGCTCGTCATTTTTTATGGAAAAGCCATCAGTTTAAAAAAATATTTCAATTTGATGATTTAAAAGTTTCGATATGCACAGTTGACATATCTTCGAAAGTAATTACTTTTAATCATAAATTGCTTAATAGTTTTCCACAGGAAATGACTAATTACATCAAATGATGTATTAAAAAATATATGATTCCATTTAAGGAAAACATTAATAACTTCCGTACGTCGTTCACGCATTTAATTACGAAAGAAAAAATTACAGCAAATTATGCACCCCTCGAAACCATTTAATATTTGCCTGAAACATTTTTCGATATCATCAACACTCTTGAAGATATTTTGAATAGACATAGTTCGTGAGACACACATCGGTTGAATCATTCTTTCAAACTGTCACAAAAGTGATATTAAAATTAACGAATACTTTGGTTTACTTTGTTAGCTTATTAGAATTATATTTAGAGTGTATTCGGGCGCTTCATAGTTTTATTTAATAATTTTAAGATAAACTTTTAAATCATTGAATCATCGCAGTTTTAGGTAGCACGTTCTGTATATTTGTGTTTATCACAGAGGTGACGTAAAAGAGTACGGGTCAAAAGTGACCGAGCTTCAGAGGCGGACGATTAAAAAGGACCTGCGTCGGGCGAGAAACAATTAATTTTGGTATCCGGTCGGTGTAACGTTCCCCGTGGATCCCCGTGGATAAGTGCACAGCGGTAAACAAACGCGCAGACACCGTCCGAAGCAGCCAGACGCGCGAGCGCGAGCGCGAACGCGAACGCGAGCCTCGAACTCGAGTTCTAACGCGTCAATAGCACACACCCCCGCGATTCAGTAGCGCCTATTGAAGTCTGCGATGACGGGCCCCGTCTGTCAGCAGATCAAAGCCGAAGTAAGCTCTCTTTGTGATGCTCCGCCGGGTCGGTATTTAATTATGTATGAGATCGATATTCGGGCCTTCGGGGGCTCTCTTTCAACTTCCCAGTCTCTCCGGTCTCTTGATCTCTCTGTCTCGGTTTCGCGTTCTCCCTTTTCGCCCTGTCGCGAACCTCCACCTCTCCTCCAGCCTCTTTCCACTCGCTATCCCAGTATTTTCTCGTTACGAATAAACTCGAAACCATGCCAAGTAAATCCTCGCTTTTGCCGGCGCTCCGTCTTTTCTGGACGAACGGCGAAACAGACGCCGCTTTCGCGACCTATCGACGTTAGCCTGACGATCAGACCGATTCGTCGATTCCGTTATCTCGCGTTTATCTTCGCCGTTCGAGGAGAAATCGCCGCGAAAAGGTGCGTCGCCGCGACTTCGATGCCAGGAGAAAATGTCGATCGTCTCGCGGCCCCCGGAGGAACGGTTCGAGGATACGTTTACGATCTTCTGCCGTACGCGTCCCGCAGTGGCCCGATGCCGTGGAGGCGCTGCCGCGAGCGCGAACTTAACGCGCGCATTTAAATCTCGCGCGATCGTAAAGATCTCGTAAACGGCGAGCATCCATCCGTCGAAAGGTACGAAGGATCGTGGGAAGAAAGACGAGATTATTAACGAGGTAAACGAACGCGGTCGGTGGCTGTAAACTGTCGAGGGACGCCACTTCCGAACCACGGTGTACGTAACGTTTCAATGAACGAACGCGACCGTACGCGGGACTTCACAGTCCTGGACCTACCTTCGAGCTCACCTCCGTTTCCCTTCCTGTTTCTTCTCTCCATCCGACACGTTCCGCTCCCACCTCTCGGTTGTTTCTTTTAACCGGCCAACTACGCGTCACCGTAACCACCAATCCCTCGGGATGCCTACGTTCTTACCGAGAATCGTCCCTCGACTCTTCGCGGCGCAAGAATTTTAACTGTTTCGACGTATTTCGTGCGAATGAAGGCCAACAAATACTATCGACGAGACGTTCAAACGTCATCCACGAACTGAGCGACGTGAAGAGCAAATTGATCGACCGCTTCATCCAATTCCTTCCAATTTTCAGATTCTTACGAGACGACATGAACTATATGTAAAATATTAGATGTAGATACTCGATACTGTGTAAGACTCGATTAATAAATAATTAAACCCCAACGAGTATTCGCAGGATGTCTCGTAAAATTTGATATTAATTCAGTT